TTTGAGCTGAGAGCCAGGGTCCCACAGGGGTGACAGCCCCCACCCCCCCCGGCACAGGGGACAGCGGGGACCCCCAGCAGCGCAGCAGCACTGGTGCTTTCAGAGGACCAGGAATCTGCAGGAACCGCACAACCCCCTGGAGAGGGCGACCGGTGGAGATGCAGACAGCCTGGGCACGGCCAGCCAGAACCTGTAGGAGGGGCAGGGGGACAGAAATCGCCGGGGACAGGAACCGGGTGGCCAGGCACGCCCCCTGGCTCCTGCCGCCGCACGTCTTGGGCAGAAGCCGGGCACAGCCCTGCCAGGCCTCGCCTGCCCCAGCGCTCCGGCCATCCTGCTGCCATCTGCCTGATCCTGCCGGAGCCACCGGCCAGCCTGCGTCACGCTGTGCCGCGCTGAACGTGCCTGCCCCGGCGTGTGAGTGGGCTCGGACGCATAGCAGCACTCGTGGAAAGGGCTTGGGAGGATAGGCTGGCCCTGAGCAAACACTGGGCATGGGATCCAGAGATCAGCCCAGGTCCTCACCACTGCACAGGAAACCTCAGGAATGTCCCAGCCAGGCGTGTGCAGGGCCCTGAGCCACCTCCCAGCCCGCAGCGCAGCTGGCGGGGCACCCGAGAGCCCTGCGGGGCTGAAGCCCTGGGGCTCCCCACGCTCCCCTGGTCTCGGCCCCACGCTGCTGAGGCCGGCACGGGCGCAGGGACCCTTCAGTGCAGATGGCAGCCCGGCGCGGCAGCAGGAGCCATGGCACTGCTCAACCTGCTGCCACACCAGACCCACCGGCTCTGCCTGTCCAACAACGGACAACGGCGGATCCTGTGCTGCCCTGAGACAGAACCACCCTGGCAGCCCTCCCGGCCAGCGTTGCCCCCACCATCGCTCCACTCCCCCAGCTGCGTCTCGCACAGGGGCTGCGCCTCCCGGAGGGGCTCGGCTGTGCTGGTGAGGGTGAGCGGCGCCAGCAAAGGGTGCCCAGAGCCCAGGGGGCACTGCTGGCTCCCAAGCACTGTTCAAATCTGATGTGCCATTCGGCACCCACCAAGCACTTGGAGGGACATCGGTCCGCCGCAGTGAAACCCTGGTGAACGGCAAACCGACCTTGGGAAGGGGCAGCTCCTGGTGAACCAGAGCCCCTGGCAAGTCGGCACGTTTGATCAGCGCGCGTTAGGGCAGCCAAGCGCGGGGCATCCTTGCGGCGTGGGGCTGGGCTGCAGCAGGAAGGGCCAGGCCACGGCAGGCATCACCAGTGGCCTTGGACACATGCACAGGGACACGGAGCAACCCAGACAATGACAACTGGGAGGACTCAGAGATGAGCAGCACCAGTGACCGAAGAACTGGGAAATCCGCCAGCACAAGGAGGAAGAAGCTCCCTCTGTTTATCCTTCCTTGGAAAGGCTAAGGGGTGACACGGTCACACTCTGCCAAGGCCCACACCAGGACATCCCTGAGAACGTGGGGTCATGTCCCCAGCACTAGGGCAGGAGAAGGTCTGGTGGGTCCCATGGCTTCAGGCGCTGGGCTCCATCCCTCCCCTTCTCCCCAGAGCCCCAGCACATACAGCCCAGCACTGGCCCTTTCGCAATCCCATCTGCCTGGACGGGCGTGCTTTGCTCTTCCTGCTTCCCGGCAGGCCTGGGGTACCAGGCCTGTGTGTGCACAAGGGGAGGAGGGGGAGCCTCAACACCCCCCCCTGCTCGGGCCAGGACCGGCCGGCTCCCTGCCTGCAGGGACCCTGTGGGATCAGATCTCCAGGATGAGCACAGCCCAGGTCTGGAGGACAGCAGGGCTCTGCAGCTGAGCTGGTCCCAGACGCACCGGGGAGCAGCCCAGGGCCACCACAGGAGCCTGGCCACCTGGGCAGGCTTGGTGACACCTCCCGACACCACCCACCTCCCACTGGCTGGGAGCTCCCTGCCCCTCACTGCCAGGAAGGCAGGGCACCTGGCCACGCCATCCTGCTCATGCCCCCGCCCTGGGCAGTGACAGGGACACTGCTGTGGACAGCACACCCGGGCTTCTGGGGCTGCCCAGGGTGTCAGCTGGGGGCCAGCACTGAGTGCGCCCCGGGACTGCGCTTCCCTTCCCCTGCTGACTCTGCGTCCAGCCCCACTGGGCTACCTGATGTCCCCTGTCCTGCTGTCACCCTCTACGCCAGGGCAGCTCACAGTACAGGGCTTTGCAGTCCCTAACACCACACACGGAGTTTCCCCAGGACACAGCAGGGCTCTCGGCTCTGCCAGGGGCTTGCCTGCTCTGCGCTGGGCTCCGCTGGGCTCTGGAGGGGCAGCCCTGTGTGGAACCGGCTGCAGGCGAGAGGGAAGGACGCCGGAGGAATGTGCAGACCATCAGCCACACGGACTCGACAGCCCAGACAGGCTGAGGGGCAGGGGGGGGGTGTGGGGGGGGCCGGG